ATCTGAACTTTGGATTAATGATCTGAATTTTGGATTAATGATCTGAATTTTGCGGTGTCTGGCTAAAAAGGATTCATGGTTCTTTATTTGTCATTCGCACCTCATGTGGTACATGTGGTGGAACAAAGTTATGTTCACAGGGTCCAGTTATATCCAACAATAAAATGTAAAATAAAAACAGTAACAAGATCAAAGATATGAACTAAACATTCACTAATCACTAACAGCATAAAAACATTACGTCGAACAGCAGCACGAACATGAGTCTGTGTGAGCAGATGAGCACACATGAACACAGCAACATTAAACTGATCAGCAGCAACATTAAACTGATCAGCAGCAACATTAAACTGATCAGCAGCAACATGAAACTGATCAGCAGCAACATGAAACTGATCAGCAGCAACATGATGTGATTATTCTGGTTAGACATTCATGAGTGTAACAGCCTCAGGGTAGAAGCTGTTCCTCAGTCTAGTGGTTCTACACTTGATGCTCCTCAACCTCCAAAAATGGGACCAAACAGATCTTTTACCAAACTGTTGGTCCGAACAGCTGAGACTTTGATTTTAGTTTCATTCCACGAGTTCTGAATCTTTTCAGTTTTCAGTCACCCCAGAACCTCTCGTGCACGTCGTGCTCGTTTGTTGTGGTTGGTCTTCGTCCTTCATGCTGTCGGGAAAATATTGCATCTAAAACTGAACGAGCCATGATGGAAACAGACTGTCCTCGGTTGGGGGAGGGTGGGGGGGGTCCAGAGACATTTGATTTGTTCCGTCGAGCTTCTTCCCACACTGCTCCTACTGCTGCTGCTGCTCCTCCTGCTGCTGCTGCTGCTGCTGCTGCTCCTCCTCCTGCTGCTGCTGCTGCTGCTCCTGCTCCTACTGCTGCTGCTGCTGCTGCTGCTGCTGCTGCTGCTCCTACTGCTGCTGCTGCTGCTGCTCCTGCTGCTTCAGACTCTGTCTGTTGGAGCTTCTCTGTCTTCACGGCTCCATTAACAAACTGCTGGTCGTGCAGCAGAACCTTCTCTCTCCTGAAATGTGCACATCTGTTCCCATCTGGATCTGTCTGAGCTCGTCTCCGGAGTCTCGCTTCGATTCGTTTGTTTGGTCAGAACTTCTTCTCACGGCTTTGAGCTGCAGCTCTGCTGGTTCTCGTTTTGAAAACGATGAGACAAAAGTCCAATGTTTGTGGACGACGTGGGTCGTGTGTGGATGCTCCGGGTTCTGGGTCCGGTTTGGATCGTCAAGGTTCTGGGTCTGGTTTGTCCACTCAGCTGGGCTCTGAAGAAACTCAGAGTCACAAAACAGAAAACACAGTTGTTGTTTTTTTACTTGAAGATTAAATATTTTGTTTGTTTTGATTCTTTAAACATAGTTTTATTATAACGTTCGTGCACGGTGGTTTTTCTACGTGGAGCCGGGAGGACGAGGCTGAACAGCTGAAAATACTTGAGAAGAAAAAGAGCTGACAGGATTCATCCAACATCCATCATCCATCCAACATCCATCATCCATCATCCAACATCCAACATCCATTCAACATCCATCATCCAACATCCATCATCCATCCAACATCCAACATCCAACATCCATCCAACATCCATCCATCATCCATCCATCATCCATCCAACATCCAACATCCATCCATCATCCATCCATCATCCATCCAACATCCATCCATCATCCATCCATCCATCATCCATCCAACATCCAACATCCATCCATCATCCATCCATCCAACATCCATCATCCAACATCCATCCATCCATCATCCAACATCCATCCATCCAACATCCATCATCCAACATCCATCCATCATCCAACATCCATCCATCATCCAACATCCAACATCCATCCATCATCCAACATTCATCCATCATCTTTAGCTTCTTCCTTTATGTGTCGGGGGAGGGGTCACTGGTGACCATATGTAGCAGTCACTGTGCGAGGGGCGGGGGACAGCCTGGACGGGTCTCCAGTCCATCACAGAGACACATAGAAACAAACGAGACAAACGAACATCCACTGTCTCATCGAGGGACAATCCAGAGTTACCAGTAAGTCTTACGTGCATGTTTTTGGTCTGTGGGAGGAAACCGGAGTAAACATGCACGGAGAGAACATGCGAACTCCACCCAGAAAGGTCCCAGGCCAGGATTTGATCCAGCGACCTCTCGCTGAGAGGCAGCAGGTCTACCCACTGATCCACCGTCCCACCATTTTGCAGCATGATGACTCTTAATATCCATTTCTTCAATCGTTTAAAGGTGAAGTTTGACAGGATCAGGACGAAGCAAGAAAGTCTGGATCAATTATTAAATATAAAAATATTCATTGTGTTAAAGATGGAACAGGTTTTTGTTTTGTGGATCAATTTTTGTGCCAAGCAGCAGGAAGCTCTGATGTTTCCTGCCTTCACACCTTCATACGTAGTAAACTACCTTCATGAGCTTCACACAGAGTCAGGCTCACGGCTCAGAGCCTCCATCCTGAGATCACATGATCACATGATCCTACTGAGGCTCAGGGCTCAGAGCCTCCATCCTGAGATCACATGATCACACGATCCTACTGAGGCTCAGGGCTCAGAGCCTCCATCCTGAGATCACATGATCCTGTGATCTGATGATACATGATCATGTGATCCTATGATCGTGTGATCCTGATATCCTGTGATCTGTGATCCTGAGGTTGCAGGTTCACTCCCGGGTTGTGTTGAGCAGCTGTCAGATCTTCCACATGAGTTCGCTCGCTGTGGCGACCTTGAAAGAACGAGGCAGCTGAAGACACTTGGTCTTTGTGTGCTTCAGGTAAGATAAGGTGGAACTTTATTGATCCTGCAGGAACTCTAGATGTTTTTTCTCCATTTCCTAAACACTCGCCCGACAGTTTCCCCGGCAACAATTTCACAGAAACAAAAACAAAACGGTGAGAACCTTTTTGGATTTTTCTCAGTTGCAAAAACAATTCGGTCCATGGATCAAAGTAGTCGTGTTTTTTTAACCATCCTCCTCAACTGGATCCTCTGGATGTGGAGGAGCAGTGGTTCTCCTCTGAGTCTCTCCTGGAGAACTGAACTTCTCACCTGATCTCTAAGGAGAGTCCAGCTACCCTGCAGAGGACTCCTTTAGACCTCCTGGATCCAGGATCAGGTTCTTTCAGTCTACCCAGAGTTCATGACCAGAGGTGAGGATCCAACACTCTCCTGTCCTGAACCACCACCTCCTCCTCCTCCTCTTCCTCCTCCTCCTCCTCCTCCTCCTCCTCCTCCTCCTCCTCCTCCTCCTCCTCCTCCTCCTCCAAGTTGTGAGAGGAGGAGATCCAAGCTGCAGCAGGAGGTCTCGGGTGACGTTCTCCACGCTCGTGCCAGGACGGCTCATCACGGCGAAAAATGATTCTTCTCATGGAGCGAAGCAGAACCGTGACCAGAACCTTGTTGTGTTTAATGGGTTTTCCAGAACCGAGCAGCCTCGGGCCAAACCGAGCCGTCCACACACTCGTAAAGTTCCCAGCAGAACCGAACCGCAACATCTCACACGATCTGCTGCTGCTCACCAGAACAGAAGCCACGTGTGTTTGAGCTGCTGACCCGGACAGAACCCGGACAGAACCTGGACAGGACCTGGACAGAACCTGGACAGAACCCGGACAGGACCCGGACAGGACCCGGACAGAACCCGGACAGAACTCGGACAGGAAGCTGTAGATGCGAGAGCGGCTCGTTCAGACTCGGAGCAGACCTCCCCGCTCGGACACTCTTCTCGAACTGTCCTCTGAAGAGGTGCTGGTTTGAATCCCAACGACCTTTAAAGTTTAAAATAAATGTCCAGGTTTTGTTCTGCTCCGAGACGCACGTCTTCTTGTTTCAGATGGAAACACTCGTTTTATGTTCAACCCAAACTTTAGTTGTTCTTCAGATTTCAGTTTCCTGTTTACACCTGACTGTTAAATATATTAATTAATTTCTGTTAATAGTTTTAATTTTTCCTCCGAACGTTCGTCTGTCGTTCTTGTGAACATTATTTAAAAAATGAGCGAGGTACCACTTCCTTTTGTTGTGGCTGCAGCTCCACGTAAGAAAGGTTCCTTTCAAAAACTGGGTCGTCACGTCAGAATCCAAGATGGCCACCACCTTGTGTTTCGTTATTATTATTATTATTATTTAAAGCTTTATTTATCCAGGTGAGTCTCACTGAGTCACGAGGACTCATTTACAGGGGAGACCTGATTTAGACAGACAACAATAAACAACAATAAAAATAAGTAGTGTTATAAAACAATGTTATGGTTAGCAGCATGGTCCTGTTAGCAGCATGATTCTGTTAGCAGCATGGTTCTGTTAGCAGCATGGTCCTGTTAGCAGCATGGTCCTGTTAGCAGCATGGTTCTGTTAGCAGCAT